CAAAGCAACACTATTAATGACAGTACAGTTTAGTAATAGTCATATTTATAGCTTTAACATGTTACTTAGTTAACACAGAAACTCACCAGCTCGGCTTCATCAGTCATAACAGCAATATCAATGAAAAGAAGATCCGGCAGGTAGGATCTATGAGCGGCTGTTAACACGTACCATCCCAGACTTACATAAATCACTCCGTCTTAAATAAATTTGTCATTTAAAGAAAATATGAGTCTGGCTGCTAATAAATCACAACAAACAAATTGGCATGTTAGTAATATGGGAAAAAACCACACAAACAACAAGAAACTGGTTGTTTAATTAAAAAGAATTCATTTATTGGACTACCTGATCATGTCGCTGTGATGTCTGATTTTTTTTTATTAATTTGTACAAAATAATAAATAAATTATTGTATCACTCATTGTTACTGTGGGACCCAACATACAGACACTGGGTCTCTCAATGATAGAACACACAGACTTTATTCTTGCAGTGATTAACACACACTGCACACCACAGTCATCACTCACACACCCCTGGTCCCAGCGACCTACTGAGGCTACGTCCACACGCACACGGGTATTTTTGAAAACTGAGATTTTTCGTTTTAAAAAATAATCCCGTCCACACGTAAACACAGAAATGAAGGAAAACGCTGCTAGGAAGATGCCAAAGTAACAGGTGGCGCTATATTCCTAACCATGTAGAAATGTTGGCTAGTCTAGAAGCCTCGGTGGGAAATAGTAAACAAGGATGGGTCATAGAAGTGGAACAGAGTCGTATGTGTGGCGGGACAGTAACTGTGTGTGTATATGTAAGAATTTAAACACTGCAGAGAGTACAACTAACAGTAATAGTATTGTAGAAATTCATTTCACCGAAACAATACCGTGGCGCACAGTGTGACGTCAAAAAAGGCGCACACCTTTGATGCTGCGTTTTCTCCATTTTTCTCGTCCACACGTAAATGCAAAAACGAGTTTTCAAAAATATCCACCCTGGCCGGAGTTTTTAAAAATCTCCGTTTTCAGTGACCGAAAACGCCGTTTACGTGTGGACGAAAGGTGCAAACGCATAGAAAAATCTGCGTTTTCAAAAATACCCGGGTACGTGTGGACGTAGCCTGAGACAAAATAGAGGAATCACAATTAGCTGATGACTGGCAGCTGTGGCCGCCCGACTCCTCCGACACTGTCTCCAAAACCTCTGCTTCACCCATTCACCACACCCACCCACTCTAATTATCAAGTTAAGTTTGCTGTTAGCCAAATTTAGGTTACAAATTTGGTGTGATAGTCATAATTTTAAAAGCATTAACTAACTTTTTGGTCAGTTGGAAGGTTGATCCTGGAACATTTATGACGAAACAGGAACCTTACATGACTGGAACAAAATTTGTTTTTGTTGAACCACACAAAAGAAAACCAGCTGGACTGCAGCTGCTTTCACACTTCAGCTCTGCCTCAGTCTGAGACTCATGGACTGATATTATTCTGCTCCAGGGCTGTTAAGAGATCTTTAAAGGGGCGGGTACTCAAAGTTAAAAAGGGACACATAGAACCATGCTGAAGAACAACAACACACATTCATCAAGAACCTAATATGGAATCATATCATACTATACCACTGTCATCAGGTGGGGACAATGCAAAGCAAATGTAGCCTATTATTATTCACCTAATGGTTTCTTATTCACACTCACGCACAGAGAGACAGAGCAGGAAATGCAATTCTCAGAAGTAAAAATGGATGGAGATGAAGATGTGATCTGAAGATGATTTCTTCTGTGGTTGGAAAATTTTAGAGAGATAGACATCTGGCTGCCTGACTTCCTCTGTACCCGCTTAATGTGCATGAACAGACAAAGGCCTGTAAATCCCTTTTAAAATGAGAAGAAAGAAATTACTGCATAAAAATTTAAAATTTCATGTCACATTTGACTTCTGACTTCATCTTTAAGGCCAATAGATTAGTCTACAGGTGAAATTAATAATAATGCTTCATGGAGCTTTTTAAAATGGCAATATAATTTCAGATTCATTTCAGTATGCCTTTGTTGTGTACATTAGATTAACATCTTATAACAGTTTAAATACATAACATTTTGAATCCCCAAAAGTTGATTCAGTTCATCTGGATGTAGCATTTTGAGACTGAAGAAGTCACTTGGCTCAGTGATGAAATGTTTCTCCCACTGAAAACACCACGTCCAGATGAACTGAATCAACTTTTTGGGATTTACTTACCTGGATGACTGAGAATGCATCAAAACATTTTGAATGTACAAAATAAACCGAATCAAATCTTTATTCACTTAATGCTTATTACCAAAGATTTAAACGAATTGTATTAAACAATGAAGTGAATGTGTATTTACAATATCCACACGAATAAAAAAAATATATATATATTATACTCAAATTATGTCAAGTATATTAAAATGCTTGCACATTGCATTTTTTTTACTGCATTACAAACTTCTTAAAGCAAGTTTAAAAATAATAAAGAATACAAAATACATATGCAAAATGTAATAATCTTCCCTTAAAAATAAAACTGCCCAGAGAGTGGTTTGTGCTTTCAGAGTGCTTCTTGTTTGCTGTATTAAGTTTATATTCCAGTACAAGCTAGATTAACATCTAATAAACTAGTAATGATTGTTACATGTGTTACACATATACATAGCTCTAACGTTTATAATAGTCCACTGTCCAAGGACACATTTGTTATATCTGTTGCATCATTCTTTATCAAAATGCAAACACAGCCATAAACAGCAGTATCTTCCTAAAAACATTAAATATGTACACTGAGGACAAACATTCATGTTCATACTCTACTTTTTCCAGACTGTGCTGTACAGTGCTGATGAATACTCTGCAGCCCGTTGATCTCTTAATCTGTAAAGGTAAACATGATGTCAATAAAAATCACAATATCAGTAACATTAAGTGTTTTCTTTTCTTAAGTTAGACCAAAGACCAAAGTTACACCAAAACTAAATAAATAATGCATTTACAAAATCAAAACAAAGAAATTATGGAAACATTCCCACAGAAAATAAGTGTGCTCACCTTTGGGTGCTGTTTAATCTGACCACAGTGTAGTCCACATCTGTTACTTCTTCGTCCTTTTCTTTTCTTCTTTTGGTCTTAATGGGAAGAATGTTGTAGTAGTCGTGCTCTTCTGGCTTCTTTATGAAAGTTACACTGGAATAGCAAAGATCATCCTGCTGCTCCTCTGCTGCTCTACTCTGTGCTGGAGCTGAAGGGCCGTCACGCTTTGGACGCCCACTTGGTGCAGGGTCAAACATGTAATAATATGAATTTTCCTGAAATTCAAGATGACTATTAAAGGTGAAAGGTTATGGTTGGACCCCCCCACCCTCCCCTGCCATCTGAGCCACAGCCTCCCAAACCTTGTATCTGTATTCCTGGAGAGGTTTATATCCCGAGCAAAGGAAGAGCAATGCCACCAACAACAGCATTAAACAAATAAGTGTCATTTTCTCAACACATGAAAACTGCTTACAGTTAGTCACTGTCTTAACTAAAGGTACCCACACACTGTACAGTATTATAAATCAATCATTACAAGCCACACTGTGCAGTGTGGATCTCATAAACCTGGGTGGGACATGAAGTTTGAAGCATGTGAATCGTACAATGATAATGATCAGCTTTTATTCCTCTGCTGTTGGTGTCCATACCGAATCATCAGACTGGATTCAGACTTGATAACAGCTGGCAGCTGTCATATAACAACCTGCTGCAAGAGCTCTACTAGATCTTCCTCTTTATTGGAACTCCTAAAAGCCAGATACTTCCATCATTTCTCTTTGTTTTGTCGCTTTCATGAGTGTTTGTGCTCAGTTGATCAGCACAGCTGATCATCATGCTGCGTTTCTGATGGTTGGTTAATAGATGTTGATTGCAGCAGCAGGCACACTGTGAGAGGATCACCCTAAATTTCTGGCATTGTAATGATTTTATCTCAGACCGTCTTTGTTTACAAGATTACTACAGCCAACCTTTTAAGTTCTTCCACTGTTTAAGATAGGACAACCACATTAAACACAATCAAAGCTATCACCACCATTTTTTCTTTATCTTAGATGGCCCACAGTCACAAAATGTATACGCAGCTTAATATCTGGTTGGGTTAATACCCACTTTTCTGTACTACAACAGCTAACTTTATCTTTCAACTGTGCAGTGTATGACAGCAGTATACAGACATGTACAAGGATATTAAGTTACATTAACATGGTCTTTTTCAGGTTCATATATGTATACCTGATACCTGACCTCTTCTTCCTTACCTCTGCTTTGTTGTCTGGCCTCTCTCTGGATGAATTTGTTTTGAAGCACCCTTTTCTTCTGTACAGAAGGACGAATGAACATATCAGTGAATTATTACATGAAAACACTAAAGACTTTTTTAATAACAACAATAAAACTGAACTGCTCACCTAATGAATATGATCCCACAGATGATTATGACAGCCAGAATTAGAACAGCGATTAATGCAGCTGCAGCAATTTTTTTCCATGAGTCTAGGAAACAGTGACAAAACTGAACATTTGTCACTGGATTACAAGATTTGAGATCACATAGAAATGGAGATAAAACATTTAACCAATCAGACCAAAATCTTCAAATTAACAACTCGATTCTGAATCTAATTCTAACTCTAAACTTTAACAATACTAAAACCAACATTAGGACATTTTAACAACTCCATTGTACTACTATTTTGATTGTACCTAATGCCAGGACAACAACTGTTTGTGTGTTAAAACATGCAGATCTTGATTTTTACTGAAGTCGACCTCAACCAACTCAACACTAAATACAGAGAAAACAGGACAGTAAGACTTGTGGTTAGCATTAGCTAATGGGACTAATGGGAGGTCACTTAATTTCATCTAAAAAGCTCCACAGTTGAAAGTAGCAATGAAACTCTATCTGACATATTTAGGACAACGACCGTGTCTGTAGACTGGCAAACGGTGAAACTGCTACACACTGATTGCCAAACCTGAGAGTTTGCTCATATCACTCTGGTCACTGTCCTACAAGATTTCATTTACTCTCTTTCAGTTTGTATTTGGAAAATGTCAAACACATAGACACAAAGCACCACAAGATTTCTTTTTAAGAAAAACAGAGCTGGATATACAGCAGCATTGACTATGACAGCATGATGAAATAGATCATCAAAAATCAGCCTGGAGAACAGATGAAATATTACAACCCACACTTAGTATTTTTACTTGTAAAGAGCTCTTGTAATTATCATTATTCAAGTGTTTTGTATGGAATGTAAGAATGTCTCTCGGGTGGTTTTGTGGGTGTGATACAGTAATACATGGTCTAACAAAACAAAACCGATAAAAAGGCATTGTTCATGAAGCAGACTATGATGATGTCTTTGGCAGCCAACTTGAGCCAACTGAAAATCTCGAGGACATGATGAAAGCTGAGACTGAAAGCACTGTCAACACCATTTGGTCACAGGTTATGGGTGTATTATCTGATTCATAAATGTATACATACTGTAATCTTATTTTATTTCCCTACATAACTGACACTGGTAAATCAATAATAAACTAAATAAATTGTTCTGTAACTGTAAGATTAACTGCTGTTTTCTACTGATCTGTTTTGTTCCTTGTACCAGGTGTAATTAGCTGCTAGGTTAGCATCACTGCTACAGGTCAGAGTCACTGAACTGCCCTCCACTATCTCAGCAGAGGGAAATTATGTTTTCAAAAAGTTTTTTCACTCACATTTCACATTGATAGAGATGACTTTAGATATTGTTTTGCCCAGCTCATTCTCAGCGGTACAGCAATACTTTCCAGAGTCAGAAAACCAGATGGACCTGAAGATGATCTGCTTCTCTTGGCTGATTGGTTGTTGTTCCTTGTACCAGGTGTAATTAGCTGCTGGGTTAGCATCACTGCTACAGGTCAGAGTCACTGAACTTCCCTCCACTATCTCAGCAGAGGGACTCACTGACACAGAGGGAAGCTTTGGAATGTCTAGAACAGAAAATATTAACATTAGAATTAACGTCATAATACATATGTCTGTGAAGGTTCTCAGTCATCCAGGTCATCGTAGTCAAAGGACCTTGCAAAGAAAAGCGTCTGGACTTCTTTAAGTTGCTTGAAGACGTTTCACCTCTCATCCAAGAAGCTTCTTCAGTTCTAAGGTCAAATGGTGGAGAGTCCCAGATATAAACCTAGTGGGAGTGACCCCCCACAGAGGGACAAAAGGACCCCCTGATGATCCTCTAATCGCTTGAGCCAAGGTGTGAAACTGGGTGTGGGTCCCAATCAGCCAGAGTTTCGGATGTGTTCATTGTGAAACCTGGCCCCACCTTATCATGCGAATTCCTGAGGTCAGATGGCCCAGGATGTGAGTGGGCGTTAAGGCGTCTGGGAAGGGATCTCAAAACTGGATTATAGATGGCAGAGAGTTGGTGTCGTAAACCCCCACCTCTGTTCAAAGATGGTCACTCACAGTGGACATAGATGGCTTCTTTCACTCCTCTTTCAAACCATCTGTCCTCTCTGTCATAATACAATGTCATAATACATTGTGTATTTTTCTGTTAATAATTACAGCAAGCAAAACATAAGAATACAAACTTTAATCTTTATTCTTCTGGCATTAATGTTTATTCAAAATATCCGTATTTCTTCTTTAAAGTTATGGTCAAGACATGTCCCTCACTTTCATTTCAGTCTGTCACACCCTCAAGTATGGGGAAACAGTCAGCCTTTAAATATTTGAAGGATCTGTTATCCTCAATATATTAGGTTCATGCTTTGCATGAACAGACCATGTTTGCTGGATTTGTCAGTTCCATAAATTGGATGTACACATGACAGTCCATGGACAGACCTTTGTAGACAGTCAAAAACAGATCCCTGCACAACCCTGTCAGAAGCACATCCCTGTTTATTAAACTAGTAATCAAATCCTCTAAATAAGCTAAATAAGCAGGATTACATCTACATTTGTATTTCAAAATAAAATTAAACCACTTACAGTCAGGGGAAACATTATTTGAACCGCTGCTTATTTTGCAAGTTTGGCCGCTAACAAAGATGAGTCTTTAATTTCAATGATGGGTTTATTTGAACAGTGTGAGATCAATAACGGAAATAAAATGCAGAAAAATGCATTTCAAAAAAGTTATAAATGAACTTGCACTTTCATGAAGGAAATAATTATTTGATCCCCCACCAGTCAGCAAGATTTCTGGCTCCCAAGTGTATTTTATACAGCTGATGTTGGGAGCCTTCTCAACTCATTACCTGTATAAAATACAGATGTCCATAGAAGCCATCAGTGCATCCAGATTCCAAACTCTGTACCATGGCCAAGATGAAAGAGCTTCCCAAGTATATCAGGCAAATCAAAATTCTGGCCCTACACAAGGCTGGAATCAGCTATAAGACCATCACCAAGCAGCTGGGTGAGAAGGTGACAACATTATTATTCACAAATGGAAGAACTATAAAATAACTGCCATTCTCCCTCGGTCTGGAGTTCTATGCAAGATCTCACCTCATGTAGTTTCAGTAATAATGAGAACAATGTGGAACCAGCCCAGAAATACTCGGAAGGAACATCAGTGATCTCAAGGCAGCTGGACCAAGAAAACACTACGCCATGAAGGACTGAAATCCTGCAATCCCCTGTTTGAAGTTTGCCACTGAACCTCTCAATAATTCAGAGGGGGACCGGGTGAAAGTGTTGTGGTTAGATGAGACAAAAATTGAGATATTTGACATCAACTCAACTCGCTGTGTTTGGAGGAGGAAGAATGGTGCCTATGACTCCAGGAACACCATCCCCACCATCAAACATGCAGGGTGTTTTTTCTGCCAAGGGGACAGGACAACTGGACCGGATTTTTAGAAATACATTTTTCTGGGTTTGGTGGTTATTGTTCTGTCACTCACTGTTCAAATAAACCTACCTTTGAAATTATAGACTGACCATTTCTTTGTAAGGGGCAAACTTACAAAATCAGCAGGGGTTCAAACAATTTTTCCCTGACTATAAATGGTGAGACAAGGCGGTGGTTAAGATTGCTTTGTTATGCATGGGGAAAAAGCAATGATTGCTCAACTCATCTTCTCCTACCTCTTCTCCACAGCAACTTTATAATGAAGTCACCTTATTTCCTTAAGTAGATGTTCCTCTTTAATCTTAATTATTTGTTGTTCAGAATACTACTGTCTTTCATGTAATTATTTGCTTTCTTCACAACAACAATACGAGTCCTTCCGGTATGATGGCGCCTGTGTTCAGCTCTGCCGCTGCCGGTTGTAGTTTGTCGCGCTCTACTACTGTTGTGTTGTTTTTTTCTGCTCTACTGTTCTCACTCAGTTTTAAGGATGTATTTGCGGCCCTGGCTTTGCTATCCATCCGATCCTCTATGATGCCACACGATGTCTCGTCGTCCTCTGGCATTTTCCACCCTCCTCCATTAGCTGGATCCTCATCAGGCGATTTCAGTGGTCCCTCTAGACCACGGAGAAGGAGAGGGAGAAGAGGAGGTATTCAGGTAAAGCTCAGGATGTACTGGCGGCGTGGTTTGTCTGGTAAGCGACGTCGAGCGTGCGTTGTCTCCTGTGTTCAGAAAAGCTCCATGGAGGGAGACTTGTTTTCCACGGCCTTGTTTGGATACGCTGGGCCCGGCTCTTTGAGACCGTGCCACCTCAGGAGGATTTATCCAGACTTTTCTGCGGGCTGGCTTTTTCTTCCCTCGGTGAGTGGATTCTACGAGCGTGACGGCTCGAACCCTGTGTATTTACGTCCCTTAACTCGAGCCTCTGCAAATAATGAGGCTTCTAGCTCACTGAATATGGCACTTTTTAACGCTCGATCTCTCTCTAATAAATCATTCTTGTTGAATGATTTTATATTATCTAAAAAACTAGATTTTTTATTCCTGACTGAGACCTGGCAGCGGGATGTAGACTACTCGTCACTTATTGAACTCTGCCCGGATGGCTATACTTGTCTGGTCGGGGTGGTGGGCTTGCCGTGGCTTTCCAGGACCGTTTCTCCTGCCGATCCGTGAAAACTGGACTTTTTCACTCGTTTGAGCTGCAGCTGCTTAAAATTGGTAACAAGGATCCTTTCTACTGTGCTGTGGTGTATCGTCCACCTGGATATAACAGGTTATTTTTATTGGAGCTCAGTGACTTCTTATCCGCTACTATGAGGCTGTCTAGGGTGCTTATAGTTGGGGACTTTAACATACACGTTGATGATGACTCCGACCCATTCGCCAGAGACTTTATGAACATTACGGATTCTTTTCATTTGACTCAGCATGTGTCCGGTCCCACACACAGCAAAGGTCACACACTGGACCTTGTTTTTACTTTGAGTTTAAATATTGATTTTATTTGCTCTGAGGACATTTTTATTTCTGATCACTATGTTATTGTTTTTAACTTGTCTTTTAATGAGCCTTTGTCCCCCGTCAGACGGATGGTTAGCTCTCGCATCTTCCACTCCTCCACAGCAGAGAAATTTCAAATTCAAATTCCAAATTCAAATTTTATTTGTCACGCACACACAACCATACACAGTATGACATGGGGATGAAATGCTTGTAGCTGTACAATGCCCGACCATTAAATGACAGAAGAAAAGTTTTACAGTATTTACAAATTTGTGGATGCTTTTAACTTACAGCTATCTTCTCAAAATGGTGTTGATTTCTCAACCAGTCTTTTTAATAATTATTGCCTTTCTATTTTAGATGAAATTTGTCCGGTTAAGATGAGGAGTGTTTCTGCCTCTAAATCTCCTCCTTGGCTAAATGACAGTATTCGTTGTCTAAAACGTGATTGTCGTAAACCGGAGCGTAGGTGGATCTTAAGGACCTTTTAGCTTCTTTTAATAATGCGATCAGAGATGCGAGGGCTGCCCATTTCTCACACTTGGTTACAAAGAGCAGAGGCAATCCTAAGGTGCTATTCAACACCATTAGTGACATTGTTACTCCTGCTCTGCCTGCGGCCCCTATATTTTCTAACGAGGACTGTGAAAATTTTCTGTCTTTTCTGCTTGCAAAAATTCATAACGTGAGAATGATTTTTACACACTCACCTGTTATCTCAATCTCTACCCCATCCCGGCCCATTATCTTGGATACTTTCTCTCCGGTTTCACTACTTGAGCTAGTGAAATTAGTGGCCTGGCCTGGTAAATGGCCTGTATTTATATAGCGCTTTTCTAGTCCCTAAGGACCCCAAAGCGCTATTTACATATCCAGTCATCCACCCATTCACGCACACATTCACACACTGTGAATTCAGTGAATCCTCCTGTTCACTTGACATTATACCTGCATCATTATTCAAAAATGTCTTCCAGTCTATTGGCCCATGTGTGCTCACTTTAATCAACTCTTCACTGGCATCTGGTATAGTTCCGGTTTATTTTAAAAACGCTGCTATTCTCCCACTTTTAAAAAACTCTCAGCTTGACTCCTCTCTTTGGAACAGCTACAGACCTATCTCTAAGTTACCGTTAATCGCTAAACTTCTAGATAAGGTTGTGGCTAAGCAGCTTATGGCAGCTCTGGACAAACATGGCATTTACGATAAGTTTCAGTCCGGTTTTCGTCAATTTCACTCCACGGAGACAGCTCTTCTTAGGGTCTCAAGGGATATCTTGATGAATAATGATGCAGGAAAATGCTCTGTTCTACTCATGTTGGACCTCACATCAGCTTTCGACACAGTTGACCATCACATCCTCATTGAAAGGCTGAAAAAATGGGTTGGTGTATCTGGAACTGCATTAGAGTGGTTCTCCTCTTATCTCCATCACCGATCCTTTTCTGTGGCAGTCTCCGATTTTAGGTCATCCTCTACCTCCCTTACTTATGGTGTCCCTCAAGGGTCAGTTTTGGGGCCTTTATTGTTTTTAATTTATCTTCTCCCCCTCCAGCATATAATGGGCTCTTTTGAGGACATTTCTTATCACTATTTTGCTGATGATATTCAGTTGTACGTTTCTTTTATGCCCGAGGATTTATCTGAGCTTCAGCGTCTGAATGATTGCTTAGATTTGATCAAACGTTGGATGGCTGCAAATTTCCTCCAACTCAACGAGGGGAAAACCGAAGTCCTCGTATGCGCCCCTGATAGGTTTCTATCGCAGATAGTGAAAGCCCTTGGTCCTCTCTCACTTTATGTTAAATCCTCTATCAGGAATT